CAACTTGAGGGGACATGGCTGTAGCAGGGTCCCCCTTTCCAAGGCTGTACATCTTATGAAGCTGACAGTCCCAGCCCTCTCCCACGACAAGAGTCCAGGCTGCAGGTAAGAAGCAGACATAAGGCGAAAAGTAGAAGGGTCAGTGGTAAAAGAGAGTCTAATCCAGACCTGGCTCTGCCAACTTAGGCTGGACACCTCAGGTGCAGGGGCTTGTGTGCAGGGGCTTGTCCACACGTGAGTGGCGGAGCTGGGATTCGAACCCAGGAAGTACATACCCTCCCCCCTGGTTCTTTTCTGACCTGTGGTTTCATAGAGGAGACGACAGGGTCAGCAGGGATGGAAGGAGCAGAGGGCAGTGGAGAGGGCCCTGCAGAACCTGCCCTTGACCTCCAGCTTGGTCCTTAGGCCACAGGACTGCGAGGCCCCGTGCTGCAGCTGCAGGAGCCTCTGGGCGTGCTGGCCATCGTGTGCCCGGATGAGTGGCCACTGCTTGCCTTCGTGACCTTGCTGGCCACCGCCCTAACCTACGGCAACAGCCTGGTCATGGTGCCCAGTGAGGATTATCCACTGCCTGCCCTGGAGGTGTGCCAGGTACCTATGTCCTTCCTGGGGGAAGGGGAGACAGACAGGTAGGTAGGGAAGGCTCCATGAGGCCAACTGGGCGTTTGGTTGTCCCCTACAGACCCACACACACTCCTGTTAACCTTGAGTCACTTCCATCCCTCGCTCCTTACAGACCCAACAAGCCCAGTCTCTAACCATGTTCAAGACCCTGATTCGACAACCCCACCCCCACCCCCACCCCCCGCCAGGGGAGTCCCGTGATCATGCCCCCGATATTCACCCCTCCTCCGACCACCATCACCACCTGGGGTGTCTCACCAAACCCTCCCCCAGACCTGGACTGTCCCCTTCCCCACTCCAGGAGGTCTCGGACCTGTTCCCAGCCGGCCTGGTGAACGTGCTGACGGGGAGCCACGACCATGTGACACGCTGCCTGGCCTTGCACCAGGACGCCCAGGCCCTGTGGTATTTCGGATCTGCCCAGGTACCTTCTGTCTTGCCCTCTGCAGTCTCTTAGACCTCTCTCATGTTTTTCTTTAGGGCCACGTAGCCCGGCCCCTTGAGTACTCCTACTGCTAGGGCAGGGATGGAGGTTGCGGCAACCAGGTTCCCAAGCCCTGCCCTTTGAGGACACTGGGTTCCTAATAGAGATCTTCCTAGCAACTGCCCTGAGAGCCAGCCCAGCCGAGCCCAAAGACAGACCCTCATTAGACCCAAACAACGAACTGAGGGCTGTAACCCCTGGGGTCCCACCAGTCTCGGTCTGACTCCATCGCTTTTGTGGTCTTGAATTCATTCCACATTGTCCTCCTCCAAGATCTTATAAGGTGCTGATCCCTTTCAGAGCGGTTGGTGTTGTGGCCCGCTGGGCACCATCTAGTTCTTCTGGTCTCAGGGGTGTGGAGTCTGACATTTGCCTGGCCCATTATTACACTGGACTGTCCGCATTCAGGTTCTACCAAACGGGTCAAAATAGATGCATCCGAGGCCCAAAATGTTCATGCTTGAAGCCGGAGCCCCTGCCTTGCTTCTAACTGTGGGGTTTCCCAAGGAGCCCTGGTGGTACTGTCGGGTAAATGGTGGCATACTCACCCCAAGGTTGGCAATGCCAACCCACCAGTGGCTGCGTGGGAGAAGGATAAGGGCATCTGGCCTTACAAACAGTTACCATCTCAGAAACCCTCGATAGAGTCGCTGTGAGTCAGAAGTATGGCATTACCCCTCTTGGCAGAGATAGTAAACCCGAGTGTCCATCCAAGTGACTGGCAGCTCAAAGGCAAATTAAATGCTTTTAATCCTTTATTGGGGGCTCTTCAATTAAATTCTTGATAGAGGTCACGCCGCCCGGTTCGGGGGTCCTGATTTGCTTTAATTAACACGGTTGCAGGGGGGTTGTCTAAGGACCCGCGGCAGCCTCAGACTTTGACCCTCACTCTGTACCAGTTCATCCCGGTATAGGAACCATGTAGATCAGTGGTTCTCAACCTTCCTCATACCCCAGCCCTTCCATACAGTTCCTCATGTGGTGGTGACCCCCACCCCACCAACCATAAAATTACTTTCATTGCTACATTATCACTGTCATTTTGCTACTGTTACGAATTGGACAGCCCCTGTGAAAGGGTCGTTCGACCCCCAAAGGGGTCGTGACCCACAGGTTGAGAACC